CTCGCCGATTCTTCAGATTCTCCCACTTCATCAACTCAACCTGGCAATTCCATCTTCTGCGGACTCAAATCGTGCCTGTTGCTAGGTGATCATAAAATTTTATTACTCACATTTTACATTTTTTCCCAAAGGTTACAACGTTTTCGCTTTTTGGTATTTTTACAAGTCTGCTATTGGTTTGTACGAAGTATCGAGTTAATTCTTGGTGTTATTCACAAGTAAAGTGAAAATCAGCATAATGATGAAGTGATTTGTAAGCGGATCCCCAATCTGCATATTATTCTACGCCAGATTTGCAAAGTTGTCTTGACTCGCGACCAGTCCGAGTGCAATAAAATTAATTAATTTTGACGTCTTGCTCCAATCCAATGGCATATCAAATAGTGCAATGTATCTTATCCAGCGGACAAAATGATTACATAGCCGGAGGAATGAAAGCCATCAGATATCTCAGCAGATAGGACGGGAAAGCCTTCAATTAAATGTGAATGTACATATATCTGGGCTAGCTAAGAGTCGAAAGTCCAGATACAGTAGTCGCAGGCTCCTTATGAATATGCAAAAAGATACTAACCCGGGCACAGATTATAAATTCCGCGTTATCAACGCTGCTTTGTCCAGTTCCTGGCAATGAATGATCGGATCGGAGCAGCGACTCATTAGCCGGCATGTCAACGAGACTCAAGTGGGCCAAAGTTGGGGACCAGGGAACAGGGAGTCCAGAGTCCGGAGATTGGATCATGGAGCCCCGGGTCTGCAAATGTGGAGCACTGGCTGCGTAGGCTGAGCCCCCAGCCAAGTCCAACTTTGCGCTTAATTATGCAATTAACAAGGCAGCCAGGCGACTAGGGATTGGGTCTGACATGTGACCAGTTGATGCCTTCGCCGAGTCAATTTAACGCTTAACTAACTATTTAAAAGCTAACTCATGCTCCTCGTCTGTGGCGAGTGCAGCATGGATGCGGCATGGAATGGCATGGAGCAACTCCCACTCGCTACGGAGTGCAGCATCTTTCCACTTCGATTTATGCATATTTAATGGGAACCCTCAAAAACCTAAACCATAACGCCTACACAATTTTGAAGAAGCAAAGTCGAGGAGGGGCCGTCTTGTGGTAAGCCAATTTGCGTATTTGGCTCACTCAACTTGAAAAACCCCAACATGTTGTGACAGTTTTGTAATGGACTTGAAATATTTAAGCTCGTTTTAGCCTGACACTTGATAATGTTTTTTGGGGGAAAGACGATTATGAAGTGTGCATTAAGGGGAGTCACAGGGAAAACTCAAGAATTTTATTATTCAAAAAGCTTGAAGAGCTTCCAAACAGTTTGGCAAGGTTATACCATTTCAGGCAGAACATTATGATATAATAAAATAACATTGTCTCGAATGAATACAAAAGATAATGTGCGAAAAAAGAGCACAATGTGAATGACTTTGAGGCACGTTCCGAAAATCGGTCAGACGACGACAAGTGTTAGACGAGGAAGCCGAGAGAAAATAAACAAAATATATATGTATATATATACGAAAGATCCCGGCGGATCTGCGAGGGGTTAGGAACGATTTGTTAATGGAAATAAAAAAGCGAATGTCGTGAGCGAGTGCTTGTAGCGGAACATATTTAAATCGTGTTCCGCCGTCGCAACAATAAATTTCAATGGCAACAAATAAATCTTTCGACTCATTTTGCGTGTCTGTCTGTCATTTTGTCAGGAATTATAACAGGGAGAGTGACCAGCCAAGTGTCGAGATTCACGTTTGGCTCGATTAATGGCCCATTCCCAAGGGGGCAACGCCCTGGGAGGGGCTACGTTTTAAAGGTTTCAATTGACTTTATCGCCGCGCCGCCTTGCCAAATGAATATTTATTCCTTTTTAATAAAGTAGCAGTCATATATGGATTTTATTTAAGCATATGTCCGCAGTTATTTTGTAATGGAATCTCTTGCAATTTGTTTTACACACATTTCAGTAATTTATTTTGCAGCTGCTGGCGAAAAAAAAGACTCGTGAAAACAAGAATTTATGCAATTAACTCAATTACAAGTTATGGTCAGAAGGCCTGAACCACTCGGTTTTCAGTGTTTCCAAATTGCCAAAGCAAAGGTTATAAGTGATTGAACAAACTGTGCCATAGCTAGTAATACTAGGAACCCAAAGTGGTTAGGAAAAATGTCCTACAATTGCTCTATTAAAGCTGTCCTCCCCACTCATAAATAATTTCGCACTCCTGTTGTTGTGGCATAAACAAATCAAATCAAATTGTGACCCACTTAGCCTTTTTCCACTGCAACACACACTGCCGGCAAAAAGTCAGCTAGCGGCAGCAAAAAGTGTCCTCAACTTCAGAGCTATGTATTTAGGCTTTTGCGAGGGGAATTCGTTGCCTGACATTTGCATATAACAGATATCTTTTGGGGGTGGCAAGGTTTTTGCCCCTAAAAGAGCTTAAATTTTCTTGGAAATCGATTTTGTAAATTTGCCTTTCTAAACCTTATCAGTTCATAAAGAAGATTACCAAAAACTATACCCTGGATCAAACAATAGAATATTAGCAAATTAAACAAACAATAAATGCTCCACCGCTCCCCCTCACAAATGCTTTAATCTTCCCAGTTCTCATTGCCTTCAAGGTCTGGCCCCAAACCGAGTCGCACCGAAAATAGAAATTCTAGCGAAAATGTTAAACATTCTCTTGACATATCAGAAGAATGTTCTGTTTGTCGTCACCGCAGCTTGCTATTTTATTTGCAAATAGTGGCTGCAAAAAGGCCTCCAGGCCACGAGCCAATTTAAAGCTGATGACACACAAAACGGCGAGTAATTAAAATAATAATTAGTATTATTATTAAAAAAGAAAAAACCCGCTCACCTTGGACAGTGGTCGAAAAATACACAAAATATGAGGGCTGTGGGCAGGCGATAAATCATAACCGACATTCGGAGGGCGGGACGAGGGCGTGGGGCAAGGCTCTCGTCTGGCTCCGATTCGCTTTCGAAGAATCGGCTTTCAAGAATGTGAATCATTAAAAAAAAGCAAGAAAGAGCCAGGATTGAAGCGAACGAAGATGAAGACGACGGCTGACTCAGTGGACTTCAACGGGGGCTCAGCTTTCAGCGCCGGGCGTCAAACGGAAGCCGCATTAGTTGCACACTCTCGAAGGCTTAAGTTATAAGGTGCTCCACCTTATATACAAACTTATATCTATAGGATCAGGTTGTGTGCTTTCAGAGACACGAGTACGCTGGGAAGTGGATTTCGATTTCGACGGAATTAATCAGGTTGCAGAAGAAAAAAAGTTTGCTTGATTATTCAAAGATTCCTTTTCAGATTATTCACACAAAATGAAATTCACAAATAAATCAAGAGCACATTTCTCACTAAGTTTCTATTTACAAGGACAAATTAAATGCATACTGGAAAGCTGTATAGTTTATTGCCTTTCCACATTTTTCGTATAAAATTTTTTCAAAGTTCAAAGAGCGCTATATAATTTCTGAAAGTTTGCCAAATACATCAACGCACATTATTGTAACCTTGCCGTTTGTCATAATACGCCTCGTTGCCATCGTTGCGGTATTAAATCCTATTATTATACTTGTTTGGATAGCCGAACGTCACAAAAATTAAAATTAAAAAAGATTTTAACGTAATTATTACACTCGTGTCCTGACCAACAACATTTTAGTTTTCTCGTCTCACCTATAAGAGAAACTTCCGCCATTCAAAACCGGCAGCTGCAATAAGTCTTTGCAAAATTGATGTGGAATTATCAGTCATGCAAGTGTCAACATACATTTTTGCAACTGTCAGAAATTGTGACAGGCTAAAGAGTGCAAAAAGAAATTTACAGATTTATTTTTGTGTCTTCATAAATGTGCTTTCAAAATAGAGGACACATTTAATCTTTACTGAGAAGGTAATGGCTGTTATGTTTTAAAAGAGGAGGAGGTTTATATATAGAGGTATATATACACAAACCACGTAATCAGTAGTTGGACGCAAGGAACCCAACGGCCGAAATAGCTCAGTTGGGAGAGCGTTAGACTGAAGATCTAAAGGTCCCCGGTTCAATCCCGGGTTTCGGCAATTACTTTTTTGCACATTTTTTTTTGAGAAATTAAATAAATTATTAAATCTTTTAATTTATTTAATAAGTTGGCTTTTGAGATTACTCGTTAATTTTTATACACCCATTTAAACTCAGTATTAAAAATACAAATAAAACATAAAAATTAACTTAGCAGTTATTTTATAGTTAAAGTCTAAGGAGTGCCCAGTATCCTTTCGTTATCCTTTTGCTGAGAATATTTAAATATATTTCCGACTTTGAAAATCGGAAACTTTGAAACCGCCCCATCATGTGTTTCCGTGGTGTAGTGGTTATCACATCCGCCTAACACGCGGAAGGCCCCCGGTTCAATCCCGGGCGGAAACATGAATTAAAAAAATTTTTTTTTTAATTTCAATTTTTTGTTGACTGTGCATTTTATTAAAGACATCAAGATGGAATTAATCACCAGCCGAAATAGCTCAGTTGGGAGAGCGTTAGACTGAAGATCTAAAGGTCCCCGGTTCAATCCCGGGTTTCGGCAAATACTTTTTTGTGGGTACAATTAGAATTTCTTTCAATAATGATGCAAATTTAATATCCTAAAAATAAGTTTTAGAATTCAGTAGCTAAGGAGTTTCTTCCTCACTCCAAAATTTTTTAGTCAATGCGTCTAAAAATATTTTAGATTTTAAAGAGCTGAGATTAATTTTGTATCCTTTTTGGAAAAATCATTTACTAATTCTGTACTTACCTTTAAAACAGAAAAGTATTGAAACCACCCCAACATTCGTTTCCGTGGTGTAGTGGTTATCACATCCGCCTAACACGCGGAAGGCCCCCGGTTCAATCCCGGGCGGAAACATGAATACGAATTTTGTTCATCTTACAAAATTTTTTTTAGGCCTCACATTTTTGAAAATGTATGACAAAAAACAACTGAGTTTAATGTCACTTTGTCGTTCCCCTTTTATTGTCAAAATTATTAAGTGAATCGGAGCCTCCCTTAGATCACCACCATGCCCACATCTTCATCCTGGCCGCGCACCTACCTCAACTGGAAGCGGGTGCTGCTGCTCTCGCTGAAGTGCGTCTACTTTATGCTGGTGGTGAAGTTCAGCCAGAAGTGCCTGGCGATGTCCGTTAAGAGTCGGCTGGTCCGGAGGCAGAGTGTGCAGGAGGGATCGCAGCGCAGAGGAGTAGCACTCACTTGATGGCCACATGACGATTCCTATACGTCCCATTTGGAGGAGCGGCGAGGCCGATGAATAAACGACAGTTGGGAAACGTCTGTGCGCTGTCTTAATACGTTTTTATTAGCCAAGAGATTCGCATCGGGCTGTCGGCCAGAGTAATTAGACTCCATTAGTGGGCTGGCAGACGTCTCTGCGCGTTCCTCCAGAAATTTATGCAAAGTGCTTGCGAGCCATGTGCCACTCCAGATCTATCTCCATCTTCAGCCAAACCCATACCCATACCCATACCCCTATAACCGTAGCCACATGTTGGCGCTCATAATTTTTACGCCATTAGACAACTTTGTGCATAAACTCATTAAAATGTACTTGAATCCCTCGAAACAAACGAAATGGAGATGGCAATGCTGATGTGGCTGGATCTGGAGCTGTGATGGCGTCGCGTTTGGCTAATTTGTCGAGCAGCGTCAAATGACAAGGAACAGGCAACAGTCTCCCCGATGTTTCTATTCCCCTCCAGAATACATATGATTCCATAGACATGTGGCGCGATTTGACAGTTTGAGGCGCAACAAGATAGATTGACTCGCAAAGATGCTGGGCTGGCTGTAATGAAGTGGAGTGTGGATGGTGTGGATGGAAATGGCAATGTCAGAGCAGACATTACGCAATTTGAGACAACTCAACCAAGCACTCGAGTGTGGCCCGCCTCTGGGATGACTATAAGTATGATTATGAGCCCGATGAGATTGTGGCTGTCTTGCTCTGCTGAAAATATGCTGCCAAGCATAATCAAGACGATACACAGGCGCTGGGAAGTCGTCACGGATCTTAGATAGTTTGGTCCTCACTAAAACCCAACCCTAATTAGTAATTAAGAAACAATTTTAATATAAAGTTCCTAAAAAGCTACTTACTGTTACTTGCTCTAATAAAACATAAAAATCAATGAACACGTGGAAAAAAAATAGAATCACATAAATAAAAACAAATCAAATAAAACAATTGCTTATCAGTTATGTGGGGGGTACAAAATTTAGAAGCCGAAAGTCAAATGATATATGAAAACTATTTTTATTATTTTCCACCTCGTTGCTCACCCCAAAAAGTCCCCATTGTGACGGATCGTGAATCACAGCCAAGGCCAAGCGGCCAATTGAATCGGATCGAGTGAAATCGCTGAAGACACTTGTATCTATAAACTGATTATAATGTCATTTACTTATCAGTTAGATATTGGTATCGCGAAATTCGGACAACAATTTGTGTGATTTAAACACGATTGTGGACAAATAGGGGCCCCAGTAACGAACGAGCTACCGAACGAAAAATATCGAGATTCTTAGAATGAGTGGAATGCAAACCACTTATGTGGGTGCGAATCCCATTCCCCCAAGGGAGACCATCGTCGTCGTCACTGCACCACCGCCAGATCCTAGAAACCTATTGCTACGTCTTATAACAATGGATACTTTTCCCGACTCAATAGACAAAATTTTGTCTCTTATGCAGGTGAGAAAATTATAATAACTTATGGGCAGGTGGCTTAATCGACGCTCTTTCTTCCAGTTTTCTTCCTACTCATCTATGGCGGCATGGATATGGCCGCCAGCTTGGGCTGGAATGAGACCTACAGCGTCCTCCTGTTTACGGAGTACTCGTACTGTTGGTTCATAGGTGTCATCGTTGGAGCCCTGGCCGCTACTCTCACCATGTCTTTCCTGCCCAAACAGGTCTACTATGTGAGTAGGGATTACCATAAGTTAGGAATATTAAATGTTTTAAGTAATAATAATATTAACCATATTCAATATAAGTTGCTTTGATAGTACGTTTTCTTTCCTTAATCAATGCATTTTTAAAATATTCTTTATAATATTTTTCAGGTCCTTGGAGCTCTGATGCAGCTAACTGGATCCATCATATTCACGGCTGCACCTGAGGATTACGCAGCCTGTGTGGCTGCCCGCTACTTGGCCGGCTTGGGGATTGGCCTCCTCACGGTGCCCTTCATCATCCACAACGCCGAGGTGGCCGCTACCAACTATAGAGGGGTCAACGGCGGTACCGAGCAGTGCGCCCTGGCCTTGGGAATCGTTTTCCAAGTGGAATTCACCACGGAATGGGCTTCGATAGTGGGATCCACACCTAACCTGGTACATGGGATCATTGGCATTATATTCTCCCTGTTTGGCCTTGCGATGACTGCCCTGGCGATAGAATCACCAATCTTCTACTTGCGTCGAAACCAAGAGAATTTGGCGCGTCAGTGCCAGGAGAAGCTTTTGGGTCATGCTCCTGGAGGAGTCACTGCAGCTCTAGATGAGGCCAGGACTTACGTGGCGGAAAGCGATAGCCGGAACCTGGGAGAGGATCTAATGGTCTCCATAATGCCCTTCCTGAAGATGCTCTTCTTCCGCTGCTTTGTCGCATTCTCCTTCTCCCTGCCTTTGTCTATTTCGATCATCGCGAGCACCGCAGTGGCGGAGGAATCCCTTAGCGTTTGGCCAATGTACGTGTTTGGAGTCCTCCGGCTGATTGGAACCATGGTGGCCCTTTGTTTCCTGGACACAGTGGGTCGCAAGGCGGTATCACTGGTGGGCCTGTTCGTAATGGCCGGACTGATCCTGGGTCTGGCAGGGATTTATGCCGATGTGACCAATATAGGCAGTGTATACTACATGACACAGGCATGTAACATCGGAATGGCCTTCCAAGCCTTCGCTGGACTCTTCGTCTGCAGCTCATCCTCGTATTTGGGCGAAGCCTTTCCCATGCGGCTCAAGTCGTCCCTTGTCGGAGTGATCGTCATCATGGAGCAGATCATCCATGTCATCGTAATCGCCTGCGTTAGTCCTGTGCCCAGCAAGGATTTCTTTTTCCAATACTTCTTGGCTGTGGGCATTATCATGCTGGTGGGCGCGATTTTCTTTGCCGTCTCCATGCCGGAAACTAAAAAAATGACGCTCCGAGAAGCGGGCCACCGTTTCCAGAGGTATTACGATGTAAGGATCTATTAGTCGTTGGAATCCTGACTGGAAGACTCATACTTGTTCAAATTTTTGGTTGTTTAGGTTAATAAAGTTATATTTGTAAACAAATTTATAAGACCACAATATTTTAATGGTTATTTATGGTTGTAACAAATAAGAGTACATTTATACGAGCTTTTCATGAAATTGGTTTCAATGATTCTGAAAACCCATTAAAAACTGTATTTTTTAATAGAAGCTTTTTCCTTTGACTTATTTATTCAACAAAACTTTTTCTAATGAAAGTTAGCTATTTTTTTCATTAATGAGTCAAATAACAATTCAGTATGTTTTATTGTGGCCATTGAGGCTTACTTTCCCTGTCGGAACGACTTAAAAGAGAAATAAGACTTTACCTAAAAGCTTATAAACTAGTATAATAATCCCTCAGTAAGTGTATATTGCTTACACCCCAATTGGTTTTTGGAGCACAGGTAGTTCATACATGTCCATCAAGCTGTGTGGATCGGAGAAAGACATTTTCACGGAAAGTTGTAAGGAAGGAAGGAATATGACAATCACATATGTAACGGCGGGTCCGGATGGCGAAGAACCAAATGCATTTACAATTAAGAATCGAGAGGAAATATATATTCCTAAGGCACCCCCTCCGCAGCCACCGATACAAAGGGGTTCAATCATTACCAATCTAGGATCCTTACGACAAATCAACAAGCAACTTAATGTGGCCTGCGCAGGTGCTTATATGGAATATAATTTACAAGGAGATAGTTACTCATCCTTTTTAACCCTCTCTTGACAGTGTTTTTTCTGTTTGTATATGGAGGCATGGACTTTGCCCACAGTGCGGGTTGGAATCAGACCTTAAACACCACCGCCACGCAGCTTTTCAAATGCAGTTGGTTTATTGGAGTTCTTGCTGGAGCTGCAGTGGCCTCCCTGGCTATGACCTTTCTGCCAAAGATGACCTTCTATGTGCGTGAAAATAACTTTATAGACGACCCCTAGCTGTTACTTAATTTCCTTTAGGTCCTTGGAGGCATAATGCAACTCATTGGATCGATTATTTTCACCTGTGCCCCCTTTGATTACGGTTGCCTTCTGGCCGCTCGCTATGTGGCCGGAGCTGGAATTGGATTGATCACGGTACCCTTCCTTATCCATAGTGCCGAAGTGGCGTCGGATAACCATCGGGGAGTCAGCGGATCAATGGAGCAGTGTGGCCTGGCATTGGGCATTGCCATTCAGGTAACTATTATAAATAGTTCAAAAATCATACCCTAAAAATATATTATCCGATCCCTTAGGTTATCTACGACACCCAATGGGTCGAAGACAAGGAGGCATCTGTCAACGAGGTTCATGGGATCATTGGTATAGTGTTTTCTTTACTGGGTCTTGGGATGACAGCCCTGTCAATAGAGTCGCCAATCCATCACCTGCGACGTAACCAGGAGGAGGAGGCCCGCGATTGTCACAGGAAATTATTGGGAAGCTTCAACAACGCGGAAGATCTGGCATTTGAGGAGCTCAAACTGTATGTGGAGGAGAGCCAGAAGAGGACCTTCTGTCAGGAGCTTTGGAGTTCAGTGGTGCCCTTTATAAAGCTGCTGCTCTACCGCGGCTTCGTGGCCTTCTCATTTTCCCTGCCCCTCTCCGAATCCCTGATCAAGAGTGCCATCCAGACAGAGGGATATATCTCTTGTTGGCCAGTGACCGTTTGGGGAATGGTCCGTCTCCTTGGAGCTCTGGTCGCCCAAGGATTTCTGGACAAGATAGGCCGCAAGCTCCTCTCACTCGTGGGTCTACTCTGCATGGCTATCCTGATGCTCTGCATGGCTGTCTCTTATGCAGATCCGGCCAATGTGCTCCTCACCTACTATATGAACCAGGTGTGGAAACTGGGAGTGGCTTTCCAGGCCTTCGCAGGACTCTTCGTCTGCAGCTCATCGGTCTACCTTGGCGAGGCTTTTCCCATGAAAGTAAAGCCCTTACTCGTGGGATATATCGTGGGCTTCGAACAGACAGTCCACATCATCAACATTGTCGGCTACAATAAGGGTTCCGAGACTTTCTTCTACCACTACTACTTGTCCGTAGGAATCATCCTGTTTGTTGGCGTGATTTTCTTCGGACTCGTGATTCCAGAAACAAAGAAGATAACACTG